TACCCACTTCACCACTCGATATCATCAAGTTGTCCTGGGGGAGTCAGTTTTTAGTATGCCTTAGGACAGGTCCTACAACTGAAGATACTAAGTGTAAGACAAGCATACCCCTCTACTATACAGGATGCAATGGCCAGAGCTCTTGAATTCGAATCCTATGTTAAGTTCAGCACAGAAGTACCAAGGTTGATACATCAGGATTCAAGGCCAGAAAAGGTCAGCTTTTAGAGAAGTTGTGCTAAAAGGGGGGCCCAAGCATAAGGGACGTGCTCCAATGAAGTTATATCAAGTTGGCTCACCAATGGAAAGAGTAGTTGTTGACATTGCTGGAACTTTGCACTCGTGCTGGAAACAAGTACATTTGTGTGGTGATAGATTATTTCACCAAGTGGCCTGAGGCATATGCAATACCAAATCAGGAAGCTCAACTGTAGCTTCGGCTATTAGTGATATCTTCTTCAGGTTTGGTATGTCATACGAACTGCATTCAGATCAAGGCCGAAACTTTGAATCAGCTGTGTTCCATGAATGCTGCAAGTTGTTTGGAATACAAAAGACCATGACTACGCCACTTCACCCACAGTCCGATGGAATGGTAGAAAAGTACAATTGGACACTGGGACAGGAATTGGCAAAGTATTGTAATAACCGCCAAGATGACTGAGATGTCTTACTCCCTCCGCTGTTGATGGCCTATAGAACAGCAGAGCATGAAGCCACTGGATACATTCCAGCAAAGTTAATGTTTGGTCCGGAACTTCGGTTACCAGTGAACCTGATAACAGGACGCCCACCTTACGAAGAGTTGCCTGAAAATGTGTCAGAGTTCGTGAAAGTGTTATCTGAAAGGATGGATGATATTCACCATCAAGTGCATTCAAACTTGAAAACGTCTGTTGATTCCATGAAGTTATGTTATGATAAGAGATCTACTGAAGTCAGCTTTGTACCAGGAGATAAGGTGTGGATATATAATCCCAGGAAGACCAAAGGGAAGTCTCCTAAGTTGTCATCTCCATGGGAAGGCCCATATGACATAGTGGATTATCTCTCACACATGACTTTCCGGATAAAATGTGTTCGGCGAGGTAAGCCAAAGGTGGTGCATGCTAATAGGCTTTGGCGTTATCACGGTCCAGGACATTTCAGTTGGAACAAAGTGAACAATGGAACAAATGAAGCTGCTGAAGACGTGTCACCTGAAAAAGCCACTGTCAAAGAAGAAACTCTACCCGGTTTTGAGAAGGGAAACAGTGAAACCGTTTATAAAGTTATTACCACTGATGTGACTGTTACCGATAATAGGACATTTCTTGATGGAGCAGATAAACCCCACGTGAAGCAGAAGCCAACGAGACGGAGACCAGTACGGAAGAAGATACGTCCCGGAAAATTAAGAGATTTTGTTGAATTTTAATTTTGTGTTTGTAAATTCTGTACATTTAAATAAGTTATTGTTAATTATCTGTTGGTTTAATGTAAGTGGCTATTATTCGGGACGAACAATACAAAGGAAGGGGCCGTGTTACGACAGCGGAAGTCACGTGACCCTGGAAGCATGCGCGCTGGAGTTTCTTGAAGGATCATGACTGTTCCTGGCAACTCTAGTCTTTTCTAGGCGCCCTTTATGTTAGTATATAAGCCGGCAAATAAAGCGGAGATATAATTGCAGATAGAGAGATATAGCGACAGATAATTGAGCCAAGTGAGCGGTAGTGACCGTAAGTAAAGTGCGTGAATCTTTGTAAATTATCGCGTGTGTTTAAGTTGTATTGAGAAATAATAAACTAGTTTTAATTAAGAAAGGACTTGTATCGCTGAAGTTTCTCGGAAAGAATTTCTACGGGAAATTATCAAACAAGCAGATACGTAACAATATAATACTTGTGTATTTGTTTTGGTCATAGGAAGGTTTTGAAACATTTGATGATCACATGACTTAGTCTCAAATTTTATTGAAACTTTACAAAAGATCAGTGTAAACCTATGTTTGAAGACACGACAGTTGTGCAAAGTAACACATGAACGACTGTTTACTCAAGCTGAACTTAGTTTTAAGAAAATTTAAGCTATAAGTATGCCCTGTTTTGATATTAAGTGTATGTTTTATTGGTCAGAATAAGTGAAATATTTGAATTAAGATCTCTATCCTGTATCTCACCAATTTTTTCACAGATACCAGGATTCGACAATCCTCAGTCTCTGGCATCCTCAAAACACTTTTACAACGCAACACAAGTGTAGGCCTTGTTTTCTTATTAACTGCACGAAATGCATGTTTCTTATTGGTGGTGGCTGCAGCTTAATTGGGATATTTTTCTTGCACCTAATAATTTACCGCTGTTTATATGATGTTTAATCCTATCCTTACTCTGTTGAAACCTTGCTCTGTGTACACTAAGATGATCTAAGATGATCTTTATGCTCTTCTATGATATTTTCTCTTTTGTTATTACCATTTTTTAAATTTTTAAATAATTTCTCAATCGTTAAATGATTTAATATGATTTCTGTTTTTAATAGACGCTCAAATTTTTTTGTCATCATTACCCTCTAATTTTTAAAATGATTACTCAAATGATTGGCGAGATTTACTACTTTCCATATGCTGGTATTTTTCTTATTACAGTTTTATTGCTAAAGAGTATTCATTTTTATCCGAAAAATATCTAAAATTTTTATCTCACATTCATCTGAAAGTTGCCTGCTGTCCATACGATGTTGGTATCTTGTTTTCTTCATCGTCACAATATTTATTTGTTTGGCCATAAGATACTTGTTAAGTTTCTCAATCATTTGAAGAAAAATATATTTTACCATGATGTGGACTACCTTTAATGTTTACCTTTAGTGTGAACAGAGTGTCAAACCACCTGAAATTTACAATTAAAACTTTCACTTCATGGGTTAGTCAGAAAATTCCAACATGTCTCACAGCCACCTGATTTAATAAGCAAAAGATATTCAGGGGCGGATTGTTTCAGATCTTGAAGTAGAGAGCAGTTTTATAAAGGATTGACCCAAGATCAACTGTAACAGGAAGAATGTGCTCAATACCAATAATTTAATAGTTATAGAAAAAGAAGAGTGAAGAAAAGGTACTGGTATTAAGCTACATGAAATGTATAAAAGTAAAACTGGTTTTAAACATGAATTATGCACTTACCTAATATATATTGTTCCCACATTTGTGTTTGATGCTGAACACTGATTATTTTTTTTCCTAAGCCATGGATTGAAATATTTTCATTAAATGTACTAAATACTTTATTTGTTAAGCATATAATCAAGTGCTATCGCTATAAGTTTCTTAATAATTTATATTTTACTTCTACTTAGGACTCGGAGGACCCCCGGGAGCTGAGGAAGAAGTATGTGTCGTAGAGCGACTCCTGGCGGATATTAAGAAAGGAGATTTTAAGCTCAGGAAGACTAAATCATCTCCATTGTGAATCAGCAACTACAAAATGTTTCATCTGCTCTGATTCAACTATTTTTAAGTCTGTTTTTACTAAACAGTTAATGTTTCACTGCTGTGATTTAACTGTTTTTAAGCATCTGTTATTACTTGAGAGCTAATGTATCACTGCTCTGATTCGGCCATTTCGAAATATTTGTTATTATCTGAGTTAATGTTTCACTGTTGGGATTTAACTGTTTTTATTTGACAGTTAATAATAATAATAACGCTATGGTACGACAAAGGAATTTTTCTACCACTTTTTTGTTTTAATGTTATTCATTGGCTTTACTAATAAGGAAAATTATTTTCTTTCACTGAATAAGTTGGGTCTCATTTTACAACTATTACTGCTCTAATAGTCTGAGAGGCAATTTACTTCAAAATGGAGAGAAAATTGTGTTTATATCTGATAAATTAAAATATTATTATAACTTGTAACATAAAAATTAAGTAATTTCTCTCCAACCAAGGACTGGATTAGTAGACAAAAGCAGTTAGT